CCCAAAGTCAAACAAAGTCAAAAATCGCCAAAGACTGTGGTGCCGGGATTAGATTGCCAAGCTGCTATGTGCTCGTCGGCTCGCCGCTTGTGTGCATGAGGTGCCTCCGGGTCTGACTCCGTCGGAAGATCCAAGGTGAGCAACGCTTTTCGCAGGACTTTCCGGACTGCGTCCGCCATCTGGGCCACCTGACTGCAGGGCTTGACATGCTTCACGCTTGAGACCCGCTCTCAGGCCTGCATGAAGGTGTAGCAGCCGTCCTGCGTCTCCAAGCACACGCCATCAGGCTTTTCCAGGGCCGCGGTGGTCAACAGCTCACCCAGGTTCGTCTCGACTCCCGGCATGCAGCTGTATCCATCGATGTCTGTGGTGAGAGCCAATTCCTCAAGAGTCGGTGCCATGTCCTCGAGAGCCATCAGTCTTCGCTGCAAAAATCTCTACACGCCAGCGAGGCTGTTTCAGCTCCAGAGAAGGCAACAGTGCTTGATGCAAATGGCTGCCAGAGAGCAACTTTGCACAAACTAGTCACCCGCGACAGGATCCGGACATGAAGTCAGGCCACCCTCGCTCCCGTAATTGCGTGAACTGAAAATGCACGAACCCTTGCAACTGCAACTTTCGTGCTACTGGGCCAGACATCACAGTAAGTTGTTGGCTCTCTCAGAGGAAAGGTGTCAGACAAGGACATTGCCCGCTGAGGTGACACTGCCCACGTCATGCTGCCGAGGGCAACTGTGAGAGGGTGGCGCTGGTGGATCTGATGTGGAATCCGAACCAGAAGTTGCACCCAGACTTAATTCGTGCACAGACAATATACATAGTGTACATTCTGCGAACATAGATACAGTCCTCTGTGTGGGCGTTGTCCCGCAAGTTCCTGAGTCTGAGAGGCTGCTGCAGGTCTAACAACTTAAAATCTGAGTGCCGTGGCGATGCAGGAGAGTGACGAGACAGCCAAGTCGGATCGCATAGGAACAGACGGCTAGGCCCTAAGCCCACAGCAAGCGCTGAGCTTGCATTCCGCCACATGGGCGTCGAAAAGCTTTTTTGCCAGCTCTCAGCTCCCCGAGCCGTCGAGCCTGAATTTCGCCACGTTATCTCCTGGCCTCTACTCACGTTTTCATGAGTCAGAGGCCAACCCGTAAGACTTGCCAGAAGTCTGCCCACCAAAAAACACTGGACTGAAAAAACATGTGCTCTGAACACTTTGCTCTACTGACCTGTTTCGGCAGCTTCTTCCCTGGTAGACACTAGAGGACTCGGTAAAGCCGCTCACCCTCAAGGCGGAAGCTCTGCAGAACGCGTGGTGAGCCCATGAGGCTGCTGACATCCTCCACTGCGAGCCCGTTCTGCTCAAGGGCACGGACAGCCTCCGAAATCTCGAGGAAGACTTCTGCCAGCTCCACATCCTTGGACGGCCGGCTAAGCTGAAGCTGGATCACCTTCTTTTTGAAGAGCTTTTCCAAGAGTGCACACACTTGGTCGCCCAGTGGTCCACTGTTTAGGTATCGCCGGAACTTTTTACGGATCTCCTCTGCGACCTGGTGCTTTTGACTCTGGATGAAGGACTCCAGCATCACGGCAATTGCATTGTCAATGTCTTTTGAAGTCACATGCTGCCGGAGTTCAATGCGAGCATTGGCCTCTGCCAACCGGATGAGCGAGTCCATGTGCCGCGCGGTCATCGGCACACCACCAGTGCGCGCTGCTTCTCCCCTCAGTTCGGAGTAGAAGGCCGCGAGTTTCTCGGCATCGACGTCACCCATCTTGGGCGAGAGCTGACGGGCGTGGACAATGAACTTTTTGAGAAGATCTTGACTGATTGGCTGAGCATGCAGCTGCTGATGCTGCAGCCTTGGCTTTTTGTTCTTCTCCTCCGTTGTTGCATCGGGATGCGAACGGATGTG